AAAACTGAAATTTATAAAGCTAGTAAAGAAGTTCTTATATTTAATTATTTTTATAAATGTTTTATTTATAAATAATAGAGATCTCTTTTTCTAAATTAGATATATTCTAGTTCTAGTAAATAGAACTAGATATACTAATATTATTTACTAGTTCTTTACTAAATACAAAAGAATTACTAGAAGTATTCTAGCTTTAGAACTCTATAATATGGCTTATAGTTTTAATATAAGTGTTTTAGTTAAATCTATAATTAATAGAATACTAGAAATAGAACTATTATTAGTTATTTATATGAATTCGAAGTTATTATATAAATACCTTATTAAATTAGGTACTACTCGAGAGAAATACCTAATAATTAATATAATATACTTCTATTAGGTATATAAATAATAAGAAATTATAGAAGTCAAGTAAATTAAGAGAAAATTAAATCCTACTAATTCTATAACGAAATTAAAGCTATTAAATATCCTTAAGTACCTTATAAATACTATATAATTAGATATAAAGAAATAGGTTAAATGCAAATAGAGCAGGAAATAAATATATAAATAAGAGAATATATATAGAGATTTCCTTAGTATTTAGTATCTAATATCTAGTATCTGGGTATCTAATATCTAAATATCTAATACTAGGCCGGATTAGGAAATTGAGTATCTGGGTATCTAGTATCTAGTATCTGGGTATCTAGTATCTGAGTATCTAGTATTAGGCCGAATTAGGGAATATAAATATATAGAATAGAAAAATATTATAGAAAGAGAGATTATATATAAAAAGTCGCGGCCTTTAGTATATAACTAAAATCTCAACAGTAATATAGATATATAGAGCATTTAGGGAATCTGGTATTAGGCCGGATTAAAGAATTTATATATAATTAGAGAAAAGTACTATTTTCTGTTTTTCGCGTTTTTAGAAAGTTTCTAGTATTAGTATAGCTATTTCTTTAAGATTTATATATATAGTTACGGGATACAGGATACAGAATATAAGATATAGGTAATAAGATATAAGTAATAAAATATAAAATACGAGATATAGTTATATAACCTTATATTTTATTAGTAACTCGACTAGTAGACTAGATTCCTTTAGGCTTAGTAGATTTAGGAATTATATATTAATACTATAATACTATAATTCCTACTTCTAAATAATAATTTTACTAACTTATATAAAATAGCATTTCATAACTATATAATAATACTATATATTTCTAGTAAACTAATAGTTTCTAATAAGAGCTTTTTTATTTATTAAAGATATAGCTAGTAATAACTATTATATATTATTTATTAGTAAATAAATAATTCGAGATATCTAATTAATAAATAGAATTTACTATTTACTATTTACTATTAAATACTAATAAAGATATAAACTAGAAAAACTAGTTACTAGAAGTAGAGTTTACTTTTAATTATTTATTCTATTTTACTAATAATAGGAATTCTATTAAACTTCTTTATAATATACTAATAAAATTAGCTTTTTTTTTCTATTCTGAAATACTAGAAATAGAAAAGTTTATCTAATACTAGTTAAAGATTTATTAGGAAGTTTTAGATATAATTAAGATAGCTTAAGCTAAAATAAAATAAAATTTTAACTCTTATTATTAGCTAATAAATATACTAGTAAATAATAAGATATTTTCAAAAATAATTTATAGAATTAGAAAACCCGGATATTAAATTCCTAAAATAAATGTTTTTTCTCTAATAAAACAAGGGCCTTTTCTTATACTAAAAAGAATTAGAAAATTAATATATAAATTAGAGCTATTAATAAACTTAAGCCAGATATATCTAATACTTTTTATAATATACTTGGAACTAAAAACATTAGATATTAATAAATATAATTAAAAGCTAGTTTATTAGCTAATATTTTTTAAAGGAAATAATTATTATAAAATAAAAGAAATCTTTAATATAGAATACTAGAAATAGAAAAAGTAATATTTAGTAAAATAAAAAAATTATAATAAGTAAAACTAGAAGCTAGAGAAGAATTTAATAAAAATAATACTTGAGTTTTTTTATTAAGTAAAACTAAACTAGTATAATTTATAAAACTTTTTAAAGCCTTATTATTTATATTTATTATTACTAATTAAGATTATTTTATAAAGTTTTTATTATAACTTATATAAATTATATTTATAAGTATAAATCTATTACTAATAATAAATAATAGCGATTTATAAAGCTAAAATATTAGTAGAAATTCGCAAATACTAAAACTATAAATATAATAAACTAATTCTAGTAATTACTAATAAAAATAGTATTTATTCTAATAATAATTATAAGTTAGAATAATAAAAAACTAGAATTATATTTAATTTCTTCTAATTATCTATTATTATTAATAATATACCTAAATATTATTTCCTATCTAATAGAATTATTATATAAATCGGTATTATTTAGCTAAAAAATATTATTAGTAATTAATAATATAAGTACTAGCCAGCGGATTTTACTAATAGAAATAAAATAAATACTTTAAAAATATATTAAACTATTAGTACTAATTACTAATAGATTAATTATAATATAATATAATATATATTTACTAAATAGACTATTACTATTACTAGAAGCAGGTAATAATTAGTATTAGAAAGTAATTAAGTCCTGATTTATAAAGAATTATTACCTATAGCTAAAGGTTATTATTAATATAAGAGATATAAATAATAATAGGATTTAGTATTTTATATTAGTTAAGAAAGTTATTAAAGAAACTAAGAAAATTAATAAGAATATTAAGAAGGTTAATAAGAATACTAAGAAAATTAGTAAAGATATTAAGAAGATCTCGAATAGCTTATTAAATACCGAGGAAAAGCAAACCGGAGTATAAAAGAAAAATACTTTCTAGTAATTAAGACTAAAGCCTATATTATATTATTATTAATCTTAAAATATAATATAATATTATAATTCTATTATTATTTAATAAAGATATAGCTGCTTTCCTAATACTAATAAAAAAAAGACTAATAATAATACTTTAGGTTATTAAAGACCTTAAAGTATAAATTAATTTATTAGAGAACTAGATCTAGTACTTTTAAGAAGCTTATTTAGAATTATTTAAAGAAAAAAACTTTATTACTCAATTCGAAAATAATTTCTATATCTCGAGGCTAAGATTAGTTATAATAGAGAATTTATTATTAATAACTACTAATCCGGGTATAAAGAAATTTAAGGAAGCTTTTAAGAAAGAGGCAGATATTATTAATAATTAGATTATAATACTAGATAATAAGCCTATCTTATAGTTAGTATTCTTTAATAATAAATAAAACTTTACTATTCTATTAGTTTAGAAGAGAGATCTAATAATTAAGCTATTAATTAAGTCCTCGGACGAGGATAAATAATTAGATATTTCTCCTATTTATTAATTAAAGCGAATTAGTATAATCTAGCTAAAAACCGAGAAGCCAAATACTAAAAAGGCTAAATTATTAACCTAGATCTCGGTTATAGAAGAGACTAAGAATATACTATTACTTATTACTAAGTTAGAGAAATCCTGAATATATCTCGGTATACTAGTATAGGAAAAAGAGGAATTATTCTTATAGTTTTAGTTTTCTTTTATTTTTTGTTTTTCTTTAGTTATTATTAATAGTTATTAATAATTACTTTATATATAAGTTTTTATTTTTTATTTTTAGTTATAATATATAAGTTTTCTTTTTTAGCCTTCGAGAACAAAGGCATGTTTGGGGAGAGGTATTATTATGTAAGCCGCTAGGGGCGAAAGGTACTTTAGCTAGCTATCTCTTATAGAGAATATATTATCTTTCTGCCCTACTCTGGCCTTCGCTATTATTGGGGCCTACCGGGATGTCTATCCCGTAACACAGAGCTGGGAATCCCTACTCCTATTGTCCCAGAAATCGTGCGCCGCTATATGGTCTCGGTCTTAGATATTGTGCCGGGGAAAGATTACGCAAAATTCATGATAGTAAGTGCTCGAAGCTGTGCAATAGCTCGATGTACATACTTTATGGAATCAAATCTTCTGTTCCCTGCCGATACTCCCTGAATGTCTGCAACTCCTTCTCATTCATCTCTCGTATAAACTTCTCATTCTCCAATTCCTCATTATTCAAATCTCCTCCCCTCAACTCAAGCTCCTCACGACAGTGGCCACATATAGCTCGCACCCGCACACCCATTCTCTCATCCAAGTATGCCGGCCAATTTTTCGCATAGTACCCTTTCATGACTAGTTTCTCCAGCCCGTGAATCTTTCCTAAAGCACACACAAAGTCCGGGTTATCACCGAAGCCCTTCCAATAAGACCGAATAAACTGGTTTAAGCTCTTTTCTTGATTAGAAGTCAGGATTCGGTTTACCTCCTCCATGGTGATTAGAGGTATTTCGAAGTCGATAGTCAAGAGTTGTCCGATTGAGATTAAATATAATTGACGCGGTTGTAATTGTCCCCTCAGGGTTCTCTTGTAGCCACTGCCTAGCCTGTTCAATTCGAGACTGTAAATCAGAGGTTGCATTTGGTGTATCCATAGTGTTGCAGCCGAATTGGCGCGTGTTGGAATGAGGGAGGATGAACTTTGTGTGTGTTTTGCTAAGAAAGTCTATCGCGACAAAGCCGGTTACCTGACAAAGTTGCTTCCGCCGACTAGGAGCGAATGCGACGCAGGAGTGCCCCGTAAGCGAGCCGACGATTACAATCTAATCATAAAATGACGCAAGAACGCAATATCATAATATCAAAAGAACCAGGTTAAAAGCGTCCAAGGAGAGCTACCGGTTGGTGGAGTTCATCAACTACCAATTTTACTTTCCCTAGAAGATACAGGCCAGTTCCGCGCTCTGCAATAAACTAAATCAAATCAATATAAAGAAAGCTTCAATAACGTTAGTTCAGCATCCATTTCATCGCGAAGAGGTCACGTTAGGTTTATTTTTGGCTGTATAAGGCTATGGAATACCGAGTTAGTTGCAACTGTTCAGTACATGGTCTGAATAGAACACCTAACGGTTAAGTTATATATTTTATATCTTATAAACCACTAAAACCACTTATGTGCGAGGGAAAATATACAAATACAATTGTCACCTCGCCACCATACACACCAGCCCATCTAAAGTTGGTTATATATTGACCTAGGATACTGCAAATAAAATTATCCCAATTCCGACAAAGTAGCTCGTTGACGCCCGGCTAGCTGCGCTCTTGACCGCGATCGGGCTAACGGTAATATTTCTCGCCTGATCCTGGGTGACATTCAAGCTCGAGAACAATAGTATTGGGACTAAATCATTTCTACTTCTGGACGTGGATGGGGCACAAGCCTGAATGGCCGTACCCTCCGCAGGAGTGTTGCCGTCACAGCTGGATAAGGTACCATTGGTACAGTTGAGGCCGTACTGGACAGTAACGACTCGCCCGGTATTATTCGACAAGCAGACGCCGCTTATCCCGGCATCCACAGTACTATTTACTTTGGCTGTGAAGTCCAGGCCGGTGGCGCCTGCGACGACGCTGTAAACGTCGCTGCTGCTTAGCGAGAGGTTGAGCGTGGGCTGTACAGGGATGTTGATTGCATCGTTGCCTATAACACAAGAGTTGGTAGTTGAACACGAAGAATCAAATGCGCTGAAATCCTCGTTAATTCCAGTCCCTGGTTGGTCGCAGAAGAGCGCGGCGCTGGCGTAGAAGATTTGACTATTTATCTGGTAGAGCGCGCCAGATGGTGTATATGTTTTGCATTTTCGAGCAGCCAGACGGTCTGCTGGTGATGCCGTGACGGCAGTAACCAAAAGAGAGAAAGCAACAAGCGGGAGCTCCATGGACAATGATGTGTGATGAACGTGTTCAAGTCTGGCTCAATGAGCAGTGCTGTGAATAACAGTAGATATCGCGGGACCCAATGACTTTATATGCTCTTGAAAGTAAAGGGGCAAATCAAGGAGTTTCAGAACGGTAGCCTGTGCTATAGGGGTTGGAAGCCAATAATACTACGCGAGGGTCGGCTGTGCAAGGCTGAGTCCTGGGCTCCTTTCTTTCTTCAAGCCCTCACACAGCCTCTGTCACTGCCCCACCACTGCCCCAAGGAAAATATCAGAGTGTGCACCGCCAAGCTGACATAATTGCTTAGTAATGCAATCAACAAGACTATATCACACGTGATCCTTCGTCGTTTTTCTTTCAACTGTTAACTACTATTCCCCCTGGTTTAATTGCTAGCGCACCTAATATAGGTTAGAGGAACAGAATTCCTATTCTGAGTGGTTATAAGCCTGGTCGCAGGGCTTTTGGATCTATTGCACAGAGCAAAAAGTGGTTTGTAACAGCTGGCATAACTGCATGATCTGCCGGGAATAGGAATTAGGAAACAGGTCTGAAACAGGGAACTAAGCCAGAAGATATAAGCAAAGCATTACTAAAGGTCAAGGTACTTCTCCCTTCTTTGCTCTCTAGCTTAGTATTTTCAATATATAAGATTTATTGAACTTTAAGCCTTTAACTATTACTTTAATTTTACTATTATATAATATTAAACTTACTCGACTTGGCTTATAAAGGCAATATAATATTACTAATAAAGGACTTATATTTGTTTTTGGAAAGCAAAAATAAAATATTGCTTTTAATATTTAATAGCTTTCTCAAATTACAAAGAACTAGAAAGCTTAGCTAGTAATATAGTATTTTCTATAATTTAGTTAATCTCGAAATCTAGCCTTTAATTAAAGTAAATAATACTTCTCTTTTAGTTATTAGTTATTTACTAACTTAAAAGAAAAAAACTTCTACTTTTTATAATTTAATTAATTTCGGAATTTGGTTCTTAACTAGAGCAAATAATATTACTTCAATATTAATAAAAATAAAAGAACTAGCCTTTTATTATAAAAAGAATTAGTTATAGTTTATTTATTTAAAATAAAAAAACAATAATTAGTTTTAGTTTAGTAACTTAAAACTAAATAAAATAATAATTAGTTATAGTTTACTAATATTTTTTAAAGCTATTATAAATAGCTTAGAATTAAGTATTATTATAATTATATTAAATAAAAGGCTTTAGAATAATAAAATAAAGAAATTGAACTTTAATATTATTAACTTATATTATTAGAAAAGCTATTATAATATTAAGAAATAGCTAATTTACTTGAAATTCAAAATTAATATAAATATTTTAAGAATAAATAAGGCTTAAAGAAAATTATTTATATAAAATAATAATATATATAAAGGTTATAAAGTAAGAAATTATATTAAAATAATAAAAGAATTATTAAGAACTAGATAAGAAAGAGCTTAAGTAAAGTATAAAGCTTTAGAATATAAATATATAAATTTTAATTAAATAAAGCAAGTATATTAGCCCCAAATTAATAATTCTTATTATAATAGATTTTATAGAAAGATATAATATTATGTTTTATTTATTCTATTAAAATAAAGAGCTTTAAAATAGTGAAAGTTATCTAATATATAAAATTTAAAGAATTATATTAATTATTTGAATTAAATATACTTAATATATATTATTTTCTTAAATTACTAAATTTCAAGAAATAGTTATATAAACCTTATTTTTTTTACTAATATTAAAGCTTTTAATTAAATTATTCTTTTTTTAATATTTTTCTAAAGCTCTTTTTTTAAGCTTTTAATTATTATAAATATAGCTTATATTAGTTTTACTCTTTCTTATATTATTATTAAATTAATTCTGGCTTATAAATTCAAGATACTTTTAATTTAAAATATATATTTGTATTATTCTCTATTAATTTTAAATAATATTAAATAGCTTTTAAGATTATTATAAATATAGCTATTAATTATTAATACAAAACTTATATTTAATAAAATATCGAGATTTTGATTTCTTTTAAATTATTTAATACTTCTAGTACTTTATTATTAAAACCTAAAAGAAATTTAAAAAAGTTTTATATTTCTTGTTTTAATTATATTAATTTAAGAGTAATTTCTTATATAAGTTATTATAAGTTTTTTATTTTATTTTAAAGCTTATTTTTAACTTAATATAATTTATTTCATTTTAAAAAGCAAGAGTAATAGTTCTTATTATAATACTATTAATAAAGATATTTATTATTAAAAATATATTTCTAGTTATTTCTATAGTATTATTTCGAGCTCTTATATATTTATTTTATAATTCTTTTTTATTAAACTTCTAATTATTAAAAATATTATAAGCTTCTTTTTCTTAATTCTCTTTATAAATTCTGGCTTTTTAAAGTATTTATTTGCTTTTAAATACTTTATTTATATTATATTTGAGATTATTAAATCTAATAAAAAGAATAATAATATAAGCTTTTCTAGTAAGGCTTAAAAAGCTATTAAAAATAATAAGAAGTAATTTAACTAAATAAAAGGCATTTTATATAAGCTTATTAATACTATTATATAACGCGTTTGGATTTCTTATTATTTGGCTTATAAGCTCTATTATTTTAATAAATTTCACAAATAAAAAATATAAATAAAAGCCTTTTATATTATTTAATTATTTTAATCTTTATTCTAATATTCTAAAGATTTAATAAAGCTTTAATATTCTCGAATCTAAATCGAAATAGATTTTTTATAAGTTTATTAATAGGTATATTACTTATTTAAAGATATATAACTTAAAAGATGCCTTTATTATATTTTTAATATAGTTATATATTATGAATATTAATATAATAGAGTTTTATAATAATTCTGTTATTTATTATTATAAAATATAGTTTAGAGCTCCTTAAAATCTAAATATAAATTTCTAAATAGCTTCTAAAAAGTTATAATCTCTTTTATTATATAAATAACGTTATATATTTCTAATTTAATTAAAGAAGTAATTATAATACTTTATTAAACGGCTTTATATATTATTAAATTTCTAAATAAAGAGATTATATGTTTATAACTTAATTATTATATATTTAAATTATTTATATATAAAGTATTTAATATAATTTATAGCTATATCTTTTTATATTTCTTATTTTATTAAATTTCTAAAAACCGGATTTTAAATAAATATTAAAAAGCCTAATTTATAATTATAAAGTATTTAAAAGCTGGATTTATTAAGAATTAAAAGAATACTAAACTAATAAAAGCTATATTTAATCTAGTTATAATTATAATATAAAATATTAATTTAATCATTTTCTAATATATTTTAATTTAATATAAATTAGCTTAATTATTATATTTTCGAAAATTAATATCAAATAAAGAAATACTAAAATGTTTCTTATTTATTACTTTAAACTTTTTAGTAATCTTCTTAATATAAGTATTATAAACTAGCTAAAACATTTTAGTTTTCTAATTTCTAATTATATAAATAGAAAGCTTTTTATTAAGTTTAAAGAATTTAATTCTTTTAAAAGTATTTATTTAATACTTATATTATAAAATAAGAAAGTTTTATAGCTTATATAAAGCTTAATTTACTTCTATTATATAGCCTAGTATTTTAAAATTAAAATAAGTTATAATTATATTAGTTATTTAAAAAGACCTTATTATAAATATGGAGATATATATAAATAAAAGTAATACATTTTCTTAAAGATCTTTATAAATTACTAACCTCAAATAATATTAAGTAATATATTTATTAAAATTAATTTTATATATAAATACTTATTTTAAAGAAATTAAAAATATATTTATTTTATTACTAGAAATAATTCTTTAATAATTTCGAGTTTTAAAGTTATTAATCTCTAGTTTAATATCTAATTTAAAGTATTTTCTAATTAAATACTTCTCTAGATTACTTTATATCTTTAAAGCCTTCGAAAAATTATTAATATAAATTATTCTTATTATTATATTATTTAAAGCTTTTTATTTCAAATATATTCTTAATTAAATTATTATTATAATTATAATATATATAATTTTATAATCGAATTCATTTTCTTAATTCTTTTACTAATTAGGCTAGAGAGATCTTAAAAGAAACTTTAAATAATTAATTTAATTTAATTTACTTATTATAATAATTATATTATTACTAGCTTTATTTAAAGAATGATTTTCTTTATTTTCTTTATATAAGTATATTTGAATTAGCCTATCTTTAATTCTAATAATTGGCTTCTTTAATTTATTCTTTAGCTTTATTATTTAACCTTTTATTTTAATTAAATTATTTACCTTTTTTATAAATATTTCTTTTACTTTTATTAAACTTTTTATTTATTTTATAAATAAGCTTCTTGCTTTAATTATAAAAGCTATTAATAAATCTTATTACTAGTTTTAAAAGAATTCTTTTTTGCTTTTATTATATTTCTTTTAATTATATTAAGCCTTTTTAAAAGCTTAATATTTTTATTTCTATTATTTCTAAATTCTAAATTCTAATATACTTTTTAGCTCTAAAATACTTTATAAAATTATAAATTCTATTTCTAATAAGGCTATAAAGCTTTTTATTTTCGAGTTATAATTTATTAATATACTTATAAGCTCTTTTAATTATTAGTTTATTTATTTATTATTTCTTAATTCAAGCTTATTCTTTATTTATTTTAATAAATTATTATATTATAATTTCTTATTATTAAATATTAATATAGTATTTTAAATCTTATTTTCTAAAAGCAATTATATTATATTTTTATAATTTTTATATAATAGTCTTTTATATATATATATTTTATATATATAAAATATTCTTTTTAAATATAATATTATATATAAAAATTCATATTTTATAACTTATAAATATAATATATTTATATAATATAATCTTAAATTTTTCTTTCTTTTATTTTATTTTATAATTCTTAATTATTAAATATATCTTAAAATTATATATATAAGTTTTATTTTAAT